ATGACATACAACTATCTACTGGGGCTTTGGGGGAAAAATAAATAAATAAATAAAATTATAAAAAACAAAAAACAAAAAAGAAAGCATGAGTAGAATTTTAGTAACAAATGAGATGGAATTAAAGATTAGAGGCACTGAATAGAATAAAGGAGTACATCTTATAATGGGCACACTCTATAAGAGTGTAACAACTAAATGTATAAAACTCCTCTGAAATATTTAAAATGCAACAACTTCTTGGTTAGAGTACAACTGTGGGAGATTTTAATACAGCTCTTTGAAAATAGACTGATTTATGAGTTTAGAATAATGGATTTGAACTGTAAAATGAATACATTTGATTTATTTTATGGAAACTTACAGTTTTTGAGATCAGTTAAGAGCACTGGAAAGATTAGTAAAATGAGCTATCATCAAAACCAAACCAAAAAGAAGCCCAGTGTACCCAGGTCCTTGTTTGTAATACCACTTTCTAAAAAAAGGAGCATGGAGAAATGGCTGATTCTAGGGATGGGTTGGGGAGAAAACATAATGGGCGTGGAGCATCTTGTAGTGTTAGAAACCAAGCAAGTACTCAGAAAACAAAAGGATGCTTGCTTCAACAGCACATATACTAAAATTGGAACAATACAGAGACTTCCATGGCCCCTGTACAAGGACGACATGCAGATTATCGAAGCGTTCCATATTTTTGTAAATTTTATGTGTATTTTACTAGAATTAAAAAAGAAAAAAGGATGAGATTGCATCGAAGGGACACAGGAGCCATCTGAAAGAGCTCCCAGGAGCCAAAACTGAAACAATTGGATTATAGTCTGACGTATAAAATAAATATCCATGTGTCATACTGATATAAATGATTGAATAAATAAATCATTTGTTTATTGAACTATCCTAGGATTTTACAAGCTGCATAAAATGAATTGGGGGAAATGGATAGCTGTTTATTACAAAAGAATTCCGAATAATATGTATAGATAACTCCCCTTTTCAGGAAGTGGAGTTTAGCTACACCCCCCCCCCCTTTTGTGGGCTTGATTGACTGACTTGCTTCCAAATAGAGTGTGGAAAGGGAAAAATAGTAACTTTAGAGTGGAGAAACCTGGCAAACACTACCTTAGCCAAATAAGTTAACATCACTTGTTAAGTGATAAATCATATTGATAGCATGTACTCTCTGATGTGATACGATGAGAAGGGCTCTTCATCTCTGTGATATTCTTTACCCAGACCCACAACCTCAGTCTAATCATGAGGAAAACATCAGACAGACCCAGATTGAGGGGCATTCTACGAAATGACTGACCAGTTTGCTTCCAAAATGTCAAGGTCCTGAAAAACAATATAAGATTGGGAAACAGGAGATTAAGAAGACAGGACAACTAAATGCAGTGGATCCTGGATTGAGTTCTGGAGCAAAAAAAAAGGATATTATTGGAATAGCTGGTGAAATTCAGATGAAATCTAGCGTTTAGTTAATAGTAGTGTACCAGTGTTGGTTTCTTTTTTGACACGTGTATGATGGTAATGAAGGTGTTAACATGAGGAGAAACTGGGTGAGGATTATAAGGGAATTCTGAATGGTCTTTTCAGCTCTTCTACAAATCTAAAATTATTCCAGAATTAAGTTTATTTGAAAAAAAAGACTTTGACGGCTGAGGACTGTCTAACCTTGAATGAGCAGAGCATTCTGGTGTTATTGAAACACTGCACAGAGGGGAAAAAAACCTCTGCAATTCATTTTATGCAGCTTGAAAAGTGTTGAGTCCATGAGGTAAGGTTTTCTCTAAAATTTCTACAAAACACAAACCCTCAGAAGCAAGAACATCCTCCCACCTTGTAGACCACAGATGACAGGAGCTTCTCTGCTTCTGCTTGACTTGAGGTGGGAAAGGAATACCCACTGAGAAAGGAAATCCTAGACTTGAGCGTCACACCAGTTTGGAGTGTGAAATTTCAGTGTCTGTAGAGTGATGGAACTCTCAACCAAGATATTAACATAAAATTTGATTTTTGATCACCTAACAAAATTTTTTTAAAAACTAAACTAAATTTTAAAGAACACAAGATAGTTTACGGCTAGCAAGTTCTTTTAATTCTCTTGTCAAACTAATAATACCTTTATCCTGAAATTCTTGTATTCTTGTATTCAAGTATGCTTTAATTTCTGTAATTTATTCATTATAATAAATTTTTTAAAACAAAATTTAATTTGGCCTGTTTGTGTAGGGAAGCATGTAGCAAATATTGGGTACGGAGTGGCTGTAAGGTCTGGAAATGTTGGCAAATATACATAATTGTTATTACGTTACAGTACATGATAAGGTCATAGGCATTATATGATATGTTCAGTGTTGTGTTTGTTCCTCATTGTTAGCAATGCGTGGTTCAGTGCACTGTGTCAAATTGCAGAGAACACAGTGCCTTAATGCACTGTTTTCACCAATCCCTGCACATCTATATTTGTTGTCTCAGATGATTTATGTCAGTTATTACTGAATAAACCCGTGCTTATAGCGTACCCCAGAATAAGTAATCAAGCAGGTACAAACTGATAAAAATTCAAAATACCCGTGTTTCTGGATTTTGTGGCCACTTTCTGTCAGATAATTATTTTCCTTGCTGGTAATCCTTAGTTTTGAGACTATCTATTTGTGTTGTCTACTATTTTGAAAATATACAACTCACAGAGTTTTTGGAGTTTATCATAGTAGTATCATCGTATTTTGCTTCAGATTCATTGCCTCTGTTGCGTTTTAAAGTTGGTATCTTTATTTTTCCGAAGTGTAGAGTTATGAAAATTAGAAATTAAAAAATCAGGGCTAGCCCGGTGGCATAGCGGTTAAGTGCGTGCGCTTGGCTTTGGCGGCCCCAGGTCCGCACATTCGGATCCCAGGTGTGCACCGATGCACCGCTCCTCAAGCCATGCTGTGGCGGCATCCCATATAAAGTAGAGGAAGATGGGCACAAATGTTAGCCCAGGGCCAGTCTTCCTCAGCAAAAAGAGGAGGATTGGCAGATGTTAGCTCAGGGCTGATCTTCCTCTCTCTCTCTCTCTCTCTCACACACACACACACACACACACACACAAATCAATTATTTGATTTAAAGATAAGACTATTTAATGTGAAAGTGTATGGAGTATAAAAACGTGCTATTTTATTTTAAGGTTAATATAGTGAAATTAGGAGCTGAAAACCCACCTTTTTTTTTTTTTTTTCTTTGTGAGGAGGACTAGCCCCGAGCTAACATCTGATGCCAATCCTCCCTGAGCTAACAGCCGTGCACATCTTCCTCTACTTTATATGAGACGCGGCCACAGCATGGCTTGGCAAGTGGTGCGTGGGTGCGTGCCCAGGATCCGAACCCGAGAACCCTGGGCCGCTGAAGCGGAGTACGGGCACCCAACTGCTGCGCCACCGGGCCGGCCCATCACCTTCTTTTTTGTAGTGCTAGTACTACTATCTCTGAGGCAAATTCTGATCTTCACAACTCGTATCCTCACGAATCTTAAAATTTTGGCAGGGTAGAAGTTGCCCAGTTGTACCAAATGCTGCTCGACAATAATGAAGAAGACACCATTACTCATTAATATGGATGCAATTTGCAAAGATTCATATTCTGGCGTTGCTATTTAATTGTGTGTGATGTTAGTTGTGTGACCATGGGCAAGTTAATTAACCTCGTTGTGCCTCAGTTTTCTCATCTATAAAGTGCTAATAATAGTATATATTTTATAAAGTTATTGTGAGGATTAAAGGGATTAATACATACAGAGCACTTAGAACAGTACCTGGCACATGATGCTCACTGTTTGCTAACTGCTATTACAAGTACACTGCTATCACTGCTCTTACTGCTTTCTTCTTGTTCTTATATCATTTTCATATTTTGTTTTCAATTTAGGTACTCTGACTTTTCTAGTGTAAGAATATGAAATCCTAACAGGAAAATTCCTTTAGGATTTTTGTTTAGTTAATTTAATTACCTTACTTTGAAAGGTATCAGTCACTAATGTGAATGGATTTACAAATAATAGAATGACCTCTTATATTTTTAGTGCCCTGGTTAAATAAAATGGGAATATTTTTAGAAGCTTTTATTTTGGGAAAAGTGTCTAGTTATTGTAGCTCCCTGGTCTACTGCACTTTTTGCAAATCTCCTTGAATGCTTGTATCCCACAATTAGCTATCAGTTTTTTACTTTTCCCCCAAATTACCATATATTTGGACTTATATGGTATTTTAGGGTCCTTATTTACTAAGGATTATGTTCAAAATTCTTAAAATTGATATTGTGTATGAAGTCTGATGATGTAATTTAATATATTTTTTTAAAGTGTAATTATATTCCCTTAATATAGTCATATTACAAGACTAAAATATTGTTCCATGATTGCTGGTTTTGTGCGTAACAATTTTTGTACTGATTTTGGAATTATCCTTAAGTCCAATATCATATTCACCACTTATTCCTTTATTCATTGATTTGTTTTTAAAGAACTAAAAACATTTACAGCAAAATTGGGCAAATTGAGTATTATTGAGTGATTTTTTTTTTAATTCAAAAAATGTGTGACAATGAAGTATTATGAGTTTTTTTAAATGTGGTTTTTATAAACTGATTATGAAGGCAGTTCCAAAAGGAAAATTCTAAAGTTTTGTGCATTTGGAGAATAAATATATAACTTTCCAAAGTGACTACTTTGAAGAACAGTAATTTGGATTCATTTATTAAATATTTATTTGAAAGTCTGCCTGCTGTGAGCTCTGGTAGATGGACAGTCTAAATAAAATATAGTCACTGCCCTTAGGGATCTTATCATGTATTAAGCTTTAGTATATTTGTGTAATATAGTTTTATTATTTTATAGTACCACTTTTTATGTTGTAAAGAAGCTTTGATTTGCTTTTAATCATTCTGTAAATATTCCTTAAACTTTTCCATTTTGAAAAGTATTTTTTATGTTAGCATAAAACTATGTAAATTTCTTTTTCTAGGAAAGAATACCCACCTCATGTCCAAAAATTTGAAAATAATCCTATAAGATTAAGTCGGCCCCAAGGTGTTGGTAAGTGTGCAGTTTTATTGGTTACACCTGTTAAGGGTTTTGAGCAGTTGTATGAAAGGTAGAAATAGAGACATGGCACTGGCTTTACAGTATTCCCAGGTATTGCGGAAATATGTGGAAAACCATTTTTTATAACTGATTTGAGAATTGATTTAATTGTGACCTGAAAACATCAGGGAACGATTGCACATTCGACTGACTACAGCTTGAAATCTTTTTGATTATATTAGCATTTTTGTTAAATTCAAGATCCAAATATTGGCTGTAAAATGGGTTATAGCTTCAAAATTGTGTTTTGTTGAACTGTTATAATCTTGTATTATATAGTTGTCTTGATTTAAATGGTTTTGCTCCTAAAATTTAAAATATATTATGCAACCATTCAGTTAAATAGACCATACCTGACACAACTGTGTTAATAATAGATATTGGAAAATAATTGTGAGTAGAAATTCATATTTTCATTGAAATAATTTTTAATATACTGATATTTTATTAATGTGAAAATAAAATGAGGGCAAATAACATTTTGAAAAATGTTTCACCACCAAATTGGTTTTCATTATTTAGAATAGTGATCCTTTTTTTTTTTTTTTGGTGAGGAAAATCAGCCCTGAGCTAACATCTGTGCTAATCCTCCTCTTTTTGCTGAGGAAGACCGGCTCTGAGCTAACATGTATTACCAAT